TATATATATATATATATATATATATATATATATATATATATATATATATATATATACAGGGTGCTAAATTTCAAACGTAATAGGTCAAATATTTCGAAAACTAAATGATATTGAAATACAATTTGATAAAATAAAATTTGATTTTGGATGGAGGCATTAAGGTAAAAATGAAGGTCAAAATGTTTTTTTTTATGGAACTCTATTGTTTTGAACACCTACGTTTGTAGCCCTTGTCATGATGAATACAATGATCACATACCCAAGATGATTAGAGGTCAAATAACGGAAAAAATGACTCGGAAATTTTATTAATACAGCTTAATAAACTCAACGTTTCTCCTGTTCATACCGGCATAAGATCTACTGGCAAAATTCTATCATGATTTTCTTGCGTTAATACTTGTAAGTAGATATGAACTGAATGTTGGCGTTGACGATGCAAAACGAATTACAAAGAGTACTTAATGATTTTCAACGAACATTGTGGGCTTGCATAGATGCAAGGGGGCAACATTTTGAGCACTTAAATTTATGGAATTCTCCATGTCAAAGAGAAAAACACTCTTTTTTCTCAAATTTGTTATTCTTATTGAAGATTTATTAATAAAGTTTATTTCTTCTTTGCTTTAAAGCATTTTCTTCTTTTCCAAGTCATTTTTTCCGTTATTTAACCTCTAATCATCTTGAGTATGTAATCGTTGTATTCATCGTGACAAGGGCTACAAACGTAAGTACTCAAAACAATAGAATTTCATAATAAAAACACTTTGACCTTTATTTTACCTTAGCGCCTCCACCCAAAATCAAATTTTGTTTTATTAAACTGTGATTAAATTGTGTTCCCTTCGACATATAATGCAACCTAAAAAGAACGGATCTCAATATCATTTAGTTTTCGAGATATTTGACTTGTTACATCTTCGTTAGATATGCACTACGAGAAATTGGATTGACATTTCGCAATGAGTCAATTTCTTTATAAATTATACACGAAAGTCGCGAAGGTTCTGATCTATTAATGTATAATTATAATTATCGATCAACTCGAAGTAATTGCGTGCTCCACCGTGTTATTTTCGTGTTGTGCTGCATTAATCTTGCAAATTTTGAATTTGCAGGACCAATAGAAAACGTTAGAACACAATTTCGATTTGATACAAGAAAAACGTGAAAGACACCTAGAAATAAATAGATGTAATACGTGATGTAATACGTGAATATGGCAGCAGTTTTATTAGTCGATTTGTAAGAGTTGCGTCGCTTATGAGTGGCTCATATGACATTCATATTATCACATAGAATAATGAAATAGAAGTGCGAAAGAAATAATCAAAATTTGTTGCTGCATCGATATAATAAACAGTTTAAATTATTATGAAAGTAAATTTAATGATTAATTCAATTCACACATAGTGGTATTAAGCTCAACATAAATTCAGAAAGAAAACGATTTCTTTAAATTTCTATTTGTCTGATTAAGATTCAAATAACATAATTTTATATTAAGTATCATTGTTTCATTAAATTAAACGTTGTTTGATGAACAAGACACTATTATTTAAAGAAAATGAAATTTGACTTTCCACCAAATAATGTATTACTTGATCATATTTTAAATTTTGTTACGTTGAGTTAAAACGTGTTCTTTAATTGAATAAAATTATTTTAAACATTTCGTTTTTTACTTTAATCTATTGTTTAGACTAATCAGTTGTTAGTTAATCATGATGTTTGGTTAGAAATTCAAGAGCAATTATGGCGTTATTGATCCGCTAACGTGCATTCTGTCAATATCCGTTACATATCGACTGTTGTTGCATTGTTTTTAACAATTGCCAGTAAATATAGTACGAAAACATTTTTTGAACATTGTAAGGATGCATTATAAGCTGCAAATATATCACCTATCACTAATCTCTACATGATCGTCATGAAGTAATAAAAAACAGACCGTCAGTAATGTGAAGAAAGAACCGTCAAGTTTCTTAAGATTATTTTTTAAACAGAATTATCAACCCTTTTTAATAAAGTAGAAAAAAATTTTCTGAGAAAATAAAATAACTTTCTTCTTCGAACCAAACAATAAATTATTTAGTCCAAACAACAAGTTTACTTGGGGAGCCAAACAATCGTATTTGTTGAAAGAAAAATTAGTTTCTTTGAACTATTTCAATAGATAAATCCCGTTGAATTTAATAACATTTATTAGAGAAAACCGTTCTCTTGTGTGAAGAATTGAAGAAATTGAAAAAAAATGTCAAGGTTTCCATCGTCGACATTATTTCACGTTGTGATAATCATGAAAGTCTATTTGTGCAGTTGGCCGCTTTTTCCTAGCAAACAGAAGCTGTCAGCTTCTAGACGCTCCTTTCTCGAAAACTGGTAGGATCGTATCGCTTCTCTCGTTCCGGAAGATCGCAGGTAGCTCCCTCGCTCTATTAATAGATCGGCTGATCAATTCGCAGGCACGTCGGCGGGGTTTACCTGTGGCACGTGGGCGTTCCCGGGTAGCAAACAGCCGTAAAGTCGTTAAGTAGCCACTTCGGGCTTCAGAATCAGAAGGTGATGGATCATTAGCCCCGAGGATCTTCCCGTAAGCTGCGGTCTCTGTCGTGCCAATACTGGTTACATGCTTCGACAGGGTACCACCGTGAAGCGTGTAATCGGCCGACCGAGTTCCAATCGTCCGTGAAGTAAAAACGCGGCCAGCTCGCGCGCTCGTGACATTGCTAAATCGCGACGCGGGTGCATTCTCTCTGGAAAATCAGGCGAATCGCG